ATGTGTTAGATACGGGTTTCATAGTTATGTTTTGGACCTTAGGTTTGCGATGTTTCCGCGACTGTTTTCAGCCTACGTTTGATAACGTTTGTAAAGTTTGGGTCAAATCCACTTTTAAAGTGCAAACTTCCTTTTGCCCATCGGTTTATGTGCATTCATCTTAATCTGTGATGGAAAGTATTGAAGAACACGTAAGGATGATGTTTAACAGAAGAAATATCTCCGCTCTACCGAAAGAAAACGCGTAATAGCATGCGCAGGCAGAGAAGTACGAAAGAGCACTAATCTTCTATCCTAAATATCCTAATCCTTACACCCTCATCCTAAAAGCGATTTATAATAGTTTTCCACTGATTTTAGCAATATTCCTGAAAATCAGAAAATGCATTTGTGGAACTAATCAAAGTTATCAATGTTGACAGCTGTTTAATTCATGATTATATTTGACTTTGAGCAACAAAATCCAGTGGAAAGAATATAATATCTTCTATAGACGATCAATGATGAAAAACATTTTGGTCATACATGAAGGAATCAAAACTGTTTTTTTTCCACATAATTCATGTCGTGTTTTTTCAAGTGAGTGTCTATATGCTGTTTTGCAGTCTTGCAGATCAAAGATTTAGGTGCGTTGAGATACGGATTTATGGCGCCGAAATTGATAGAAGCCATTTAAATTCTTTCTCACCAACGTCCAGATGGTACTATTCCTAGAAGATCTATAGCTGTTATTGATTCGTGTACAATGTCATAGTAACGGAGCATATTTCCGAGTAATCGATAGGAAAGCATGATGTATAGGTAGGCGACTGATCCTTCACATCGCCCACCTAGGCTTAAGTCAAACCGAGACTCCATTAGAGCGCGTTTGTATTTTTAGATGTTTACACATCTTTTCGAGGGTTTAAAGGCGTATAAACTCGGTCAAAAATTGATAGATTGATCTATCGGTTCTTTCATAGTCAGTGTTTTCTGCAATTTGGTTATTATTTTTTCATGTTGTTTTACGACTGTTCTGTCGTGTCATTTTTTAGCAACTTGATCATAGTTTTGAAGTTTGGGTATTTTTGCAAGTTATTGCTCGCGGTGTTTATGCGTTGTTTTCCGTTTCATTGATTTTGTGAATGTTGCTGGTTCTAAGTGACCGTGTCATTCCGACCGAGATAATCCATCTTGCGTGTGGCGTTATGTTGCTATTCCGCATCACTCCAGGTTAAAATGATTATGACGATCTGTCGCCACGTGGCTACTATTCTAGTGCCCCCTGTTGTGTCGCACGCACGAGTTGATGCATGTCACTGGTGATAAACTACCCCATCTGTTTCGGCGCCATCACACTGAGAGTAAAGTCAATTGTCTGGATTGTGTAAATGCGTATATTGACCTTCACGGGCCTTTAGTGACCACGGGTGGCCCAGTCGTCTAAGGCTGTGCAGAGTTGCGTCCCTTTGGTACGCCAGAAGCCTATGATCGTGGGTTTGAATCCCGGTTCTCGGTTTGTCAGCTCTGTACCCGTGTTTGTGGGTTTCACCTAAGTGGTAAATGTCTGAGACATGAATAACATCGGGCCTTCCTCCCACATTAAGCTGACACGCCGTAACTGGAATACTGCTCAAAGTGGCGTTGAACCCAACAAACTCACTCACTCACGCACTGGGGGAACATGACATAGTTGCAGATGACAACACGGTTGTACAGTTCGGCAACAACATACGACACGTTGTCTTTGACTAGGGGTAGAACACACGGTTGTACAGTTCGGCATCAACATACGACACGTTGTCTTTGACTAGGGGTGGAACACACGGTTGTACAGTTCGGCAACAACAGACGACACGTTGTCTTTGACTAGGGGTGGAACACACGGTTGTACAGTTCGGCAACAACAGACGACACGTTGTCTTTGACTAGGGGTGGAACACACGGTTGTACAGTTCGGCAACAACAGACGACACGTTGTCTATGACTAGGGGTAGAACACACGGTTGTACAGTTCGGCATCAACATACGACACGTTGTCTTTGACTAGGGTCAGAACACACGGTTGTACAGTTCGGCAACAAGTGACCACTCGCTGCCTGAAAGCAGTTAATGAAATACGGTCTGTTCGTGACAGAGCGTCGTCCTGCATGGTGATTACCCAGACGGCGAGGGAGGGCGATGTTGGTGTAGGTGATTGTAACAAACATGGAAACGATTCATGTGGCGGTGCTGGCGTATTCTCCAGGGTAATATGGAATACAGGGAGTGACAGTCGGCACGCCACGTCTATCGAGGGGGAGGTCCTCGGGGGTCGGGCCACGATGAGAGTATGCATACTTGACTCGAACACCAGATGGAGTTAATGAGAAGTATGGTGATGTGATCAACATGCAGAACCTTCCACCAGAGAATAGACCCTCTACAAGACATACCAGGGAATCTACACAACGCCCTGTGAGAGTTGGGACTATGTCCCAGGTGTCCCAGAAAAAAACCATACAAAAGTTATCAGAATAACCTTTAACCTGAAAAAGAGCGCATATCGCTTTGTCTTGTATGGGAGACTGTGAAAGAACCATTTCCGGTTTGTTTGTTTGTTTGTTTGTTTGTGGTTTAACGCCGAACTCGGCAATATTCCAGCTATATGATGACGGTCTGTAAATAATCGAGTCTGGACCAGACAATCTAGTGATTCACATCATGAGCATCGATCTACGCAACTGGGATATGATGACTTGTCTCAACCAAGTCAGCGAGCCTGACCACCCGATCCCGTTAGTCGCCTCTTACGACAAGCATAGTCGCCTCTTACGACAAGCATAGTCGCCTATTACGACAAGCATAGTCGCCTCTTACGACAAGCATAGTCGCCTCTTACGACAAGCATAGTCGCCTATTACGACAAGCATAGTCGCCTATTACGACAAGCATAGTCGCCTATTACGACAAGCATAGTGTCATGAACACTATACGCCCGGGAAAGGTTTCCTACTGGTAGCCATTAATAATATATACTAACTGAACTAATTATCCACGTTGCTGTGGTTCAACCTATGTGCCCAAAATAATGGCGTATTAAAAGCTTCATAGCCAACAGAGACTAGTACTAAAGTAGATTCATGTGTTGTTGGTAACATAAGGCAGTTACTAGATGTCTCAACCAAACGGTTTTTCAATAAAATATTAAGAGACCAAATTATTCAACACTTGAATGAAAAGGTAGACACAATTTTATGGATAACAACTTCTTTACTACTGTAAAAAGCGACGTTTCGGTATAGATCCTTATACCGTTGTCAAGCAAGACTGATTGACAACGGTATAAGGATCTATACCGAAACGTCGCTTTTTACAGTATTAAAGGAGTTGTTATCCATAAAATTGTGTCTACCTTGTCACCCGTCAACTTCGAAGCAATGCCCATCAAACAATTTAGTAGAATGAAAGAATGATAAAATCAAGAAAAGGGTAAACTTATAAAAAATATTATAAAAAAAACACGACAAAACCTTTTCAATAGCCACAAAAAATGTCTGCTAAAGAAATTTTGGAGAAAAAAAATTGTACTCTGAAAATTAAGAATATCAAAACAGAATATGTTCAACTGCTTCTAAAGAAATACTACACCTGCAATCTTGACTAAATAAAATCTTACAAGAAAAATACTAATATAAATAATAAACTTGAAGACTATCGCCTCTTATGAAAATGTCCACATTTATTTTTTCAAATATCCTTCAAAATAATATTAATAAACATTTACTTGCTCACAATGTTATTTAAGCCATTTCCTGTTCTAATGTACAACCGCTGCCCAGTTGTTCCCAGAGAATAAAGTATTTCATATGCCGTATGAAGCGACTTAGTGAATTGTGTTGTGAGGCTCGGTGACTTGGTTCATTGTGTGTCATCGTACCCGGCGACGTGGATCCATGCTCATAATATCAATCACTGGATTTTTGGCCCAGACTCGATTATTTACAGGCCACCGTCATACAGTTATAACGTTTACCCATGCTTGCCGAAAAGGCTTCACAGATGAAGCATTTTGCATTTATGACATTATTTACTCAAAGGGTATAGTTAATCTGTCATGGATGGGAATTGCAACACACAGCCTTTCAATTATGGGTGTTCCTTAACTTGTTTAGAGTAGTACAGATTAAACAAATGAGGTTACGCCATTCGAAATAATACCAAATAATCTTCTGTTCTAAATTAAAAAAACTAACACCTTACACTAAAACGTGCAACGTTATCACAAACACACGCCCTCAGATCTGAGGTCTTGGCGTGAAGGGCTCAGCTGGCATCCTCAACACGAGGAGAAGGTATTAATGCCGGAGTACATGGAAGGGCTTGGTAATCTGGGAATCAGCATCCTCCTCAAGCCGAGTCACAGCTTAAGGTGAGAACCCCACAATACAATTTAACATGAACTCGTCGTGAAATTGGGAAATGCTTTTGAAAAATAACGCAAAACACTTGACAGAGTGCCCGCAGCTATTTACAAACTTGGCACACGTGAGAGGCGGTCGCCGATGGCGGTGCGTGGGAGTTCATGTGCATTCGCGGACGTCACAGGCGATGAAGAAATCTTCAAGTTGAAATAGACTTCAGTAACTTCTTTCCGAGAGACTTATATCAATATAGCACATTAATCCGATATCGTTAGCGTGGCAACGTTGGCCTCCAGCTCTGTTTGCGTGGAAGTGTTATGTTTGGCGTTATAGCATACCTTCCGCGTGAACTGTCGTAACTCGGCAGGCGTCTAGATGTCAGGCTGAATTGTGGCATTAAATGTTACAGGCGTTCTAAGGATGTGTTACAGTCAACGTAAAGTCTGTCAATTTGTAAAGTGACTGAAATTTTCAATCATTTATTTCAAATTAACTGAAATATCAGGCAGATTATACTGACTGAACTTTTTAATTGTAAGAAAAAGTCATGAATTCATTTCTGTAAATATCGTGTGTAGCTCTTCTTGAGGTGTGGGTGTGTTGCTCTTTTTGGGATGTTCATGTGTTGCTCTTCTTGAGGTGTTCGCGTGTAGCTCTTCTTTGGGTGTTGGTGTGCTGCTCTTCTTGGGATGTTCGTGTGTTGCCCTTCTTGAGGTGTGGGTGCCCTTCTTGAGGTGTGGGTGTGTAGCTCTTCTTGAGGTGTGGGTATGTTGCTCTTCTTGAGGTGTGGGTGTGTTGCTCTTCTTGATGTGTGGGTGTGTAGCTCTTCTTGAAGTGTGGATGTGCTGCTCTTCTTGAGGTGTGGGTGTGCTGCTCTTCTTGGGATGTTCGTGTTGCTCTCCTTGAGGTGTTCGTGTGTTGCTCTCCTTGAGGTGTTCGTGTGTTGCTCTTCTTGATGTGTGGGTGTGTAGCTCTTCTTGAGGCGTGGGTGTGTTGCTCTTCTTGAGGTGTGGGTGTGTTGCTCTTCTTGAGGTGTGGGTGTGTTGGTCTTCTTAAGATGTTCGCGTGTAGCTCTTCTTGGGGTGTGGGTGTGTTGCTCTTCTTGGGATGTTCGTGTGTAGCTCTTCTTGAGGTGTGGGTGTGTTGCTCTTCTTGAGGTGTGGGTGTGTTGCTCTTCTTGAGGTGTGGGTGTGTAGCTCTTCTTGGGATGTTCTCGTGTTGCTCTTCTTGAGGTGTTCGTGTGTTGCTCTTTTTGATGTGTGGGTGTGTTGCTCTTCTTGAGGCGTGGATGTGTTGCTTTTCTTGAGGTGTGGGTGTGTTGCTCTTCTTGAGGCGTGGATGTGTTGCTCTTTTTGATGTGTGGGTGTGTTGCTCTTCTTGAGGTGTGGGTGTGTTGCTCTTCTTGAGGTGTGGGTGTGTTGCTCTTCTTGAGGTGTGGGTGTGTTGCTCTTCTTGAGGTGTGGGTGTGTTGCTCTTCTTGAGGTGTGGGTGTGTAGCTCTTCTTGGGATGTTCTCGTGTTGCTCTTCTTGAGGTGTGGGTGTGTTGCTCTTCTTGAGGTCGACATGTGTAGCTCTTCTGGAGGTTTGGGTGTATTGCTCTTCTTTAGGTGTACATGTAGCTTTTCTGGGGGTGTACTTGGGTAGCTCCTCTGGAGGTGTAAATGGGTAGCTCTTCCAAACACAAACATTGAATCCAATGACGAAACATTAGTTCAATCTTCACATTTAGCAATCAATTACTTATCAGTGCATAAGAAGAATTGAAAAATGTTGATTTTGAATAAAATATAATTATGTCACAGCTATTTATACCCTTGAGTTTTGGTTGATAAGTGTAGATGTTTTCAAATCAGTGATGGTATGGATCTTGTTCATGTTCACTTGTTTGCCTGTTCCAGACTCTGTTAATTACAGTTGCTGCGACATATCTGGAACATTGCTGGCCTCAGCATTAAACAACATTCACCCACACACTTGAAAACACTGCTGTCAGCGCAGGCAGCTCCAACACTGTTCCACATGGCAAACAGCTCATGCTTCTAAGTGTGTAAATCTTCATGAAGAAATATTGAATTCATTTAGATTTCTCGCCTCTTAATGAAATGATAACATTTGGACAAGCAGCTGGGGATGGACATGTTCATCACAATACCCCCTTTTTATGTTAGGGGATAAAAATAACATCTTTAAATGTTAAAGAATATTTTATTCCATGAAAGTTACAACAAGCACATAAACATAAAAGAAACATTACCATATCAAGGGGTTCATGTCATAATAAATAAAAATCATGCATTTATTCCATCCTTTATGGAAACAGGATTAGAAAACAGAGGGCATATAACCCAGATATTATGACACATATATTAATAAAACTCTCACAATCACAAGCGGTTTCCCATCATGCATTGACTCACAATGAACCGTAAAGGATAGGACCAACATTTTAAACATAAAAACACAAGACCTTAAGTTGGTCCCAGTTTATTCCATCATAACCCACTCTTGAACTCTAATCCCCATCCTTCCCCTGGTTATAAAGTAACCTGACAATACTTTAACACACATGTGAGAAAGAAATAACGCCGCAAATTTCTGACTGACCATCCACAGGAGAATTGATATCCTTCACTTGATTCAAGAACAAATCACTGTTGATATCACCCATGTACTTTCTTAAGCCACAACCTCTTCCATGCTCAAAAATAACTCATGCACTTTCTTTAGCCATAACCCCATCCTTCCCAAAAATAACTCATGCTCTTTCTTTAGCCATAACCCCATCCTTCCCAAAAATAACTCATGCAATTTCTTTAGCCATAACCTCTTCCATGCCCAAAAATAAGTCATGCACTTCTTTAGCCATAACCTCTTCCATGCCCAAAAATAACTCATGCAATTTCTTTAGCCATAACCCCATCCATGCCCAAAAATAACTCATGCACTTTCTTTAGCCATTATACCTCATCCATGCCCAAAAATAACTCATGCACTTCTTTAGCCATAACCTCATCCATGCCAAAAAATAACTCATGCACTTCTCTAGCCATAACCACATCCATGCCCAAATCACCAATGTACTTTCTTTAGCCATAACCTCATCCATGCAAAAAAAACCAAGCATTTTCATTATCATCAAAAAATCATCATCATTCACTATCCATATTGCCTTGGTAGATAAAATATAAAATAGATATGCTGTGTTCAGTATTGGACATCTGAAAGAGCTTCCAAGGGTACAGATACAAAACAAGCCGTGCATCAATATGTCGTCCTCCTGCACCAGTTGTCGGTTTCTGAATATTAATGTCAGCAATGTCCATCCGAGGAGCTGTTGTGCATCCCAAGTGAGGCCACTTGATGTGTGTCACCTGCACTGTCAACTGTCATTACCATACGAGTCTTGCCAGCTCCTCGAGCCCTGGTGACTTCCAAACTCTGCCTGCTCTGATTGCTTGCCAATTACACATGCCCCCAATGGACTGGGTCTGTATTGCTGCCATTAACACACACAGCCAACAACGTCGCATCCACTGATGCAGCATGCCACCTTTCATCCAAACATCGCAATGAAGACGACAAAGCTCATGAACATGGTGAAGAGGATCGGGACTGTCAGGAGACCCCACACCGGCCACAGCCCCACCGACAGACTGAAACAGACATCAACTGTGTAGCAATAACAGACTTGAAACATACAGATATCAACCCCGAGTGAGTGAGTGAGTTGGGTTTAACGCCGCTTTTAACAGTATTCCAGTTATATCGTGGCGTGTCAGCTTAATGTGTGAGGAAAGCCCGAAGTGATGCAGGTCTCAGACGTTTACCACTTCGGTGAAACCCACGAGCACGGGTATGGTGCTAACAAACCTAGAAACATAATCGGGGCGAACCGGGATTCGAAACCCACAATCATAGGTTTCTGGCGGGCCCAAGGGACGCAACTCTGCACAGCGAATCGCGGCGCCTTAGACGACTGGGCCACCCGTGCCCCCGATATCAACTGTGAATAGCAGACTTAAACATATATAAAGTGTAAATAGCAGACTTGAACATTCAGTACTAGTGTTCCTGCTGGCTATTGAAACTGCCAGTCATGCTGGACGTTCAACTTTAAAAATGACCAGTCCTCCCTAATTTTTTTCAGTACTAACTTTCAACAAATAAAAATAATGTATGAAAATTATCTGCTTTTAATTCCTTCAACTTCTGAAGTAACCTAGTTACATCTACATGTCACACAAGTTGCATGAAGCGAGGTGAGCTATGGACTGAGTATTTAACATACCACCTGTAACAGTTACATATTACAACCACACAAGTTACATGAAGCAAGGTGAGCTATGGATGGAGTATTAAACCTTCCACCTGTAACAGTTACATTTTACATCCACACAAGTTACATGAAGCAAGGTGAGCTACCTACTGAGGATTCACCTTCCACCTGTGAGAGTTACATATTACAAACACACAAGTTACATGAAGCAAGGTGAGCTATGGACTGAGTATTTAAGCTTCCACCTGTCACACCTACATATTACAACCACACAAGTTACATGAAGCAAGGTGAGCTATCTACTGAGGATTCACCTTCCACCTGTGAGAGTTACATATTACAACTACACAAGTAACATGAAGCACGGTGAGCTATACTTCTATCAGGTCAGCTTCAGCAGCACTATACACTCATGCCCATGAACTGCTATGCTAATGTATCTTAACAGTCAAACTATTTGGTCTCCAAGTGATGGAGAATTCATTGAAAATTCAATTTGATTTGCAGAAAGTTCCACATCATTTCCCTTCATGACTCACCATGTAGACACAAATCAATGTTAACTATGCAGATTGAAAATGAGCATGCTGAGACTGCCACTGTTTCACTGCAAACCAATATATCTGGTGTGTTCCAACTTGGCCCCGGTTGGACATTAATTAAGGTTGCAGCTGCTGGTGAAATTCGGATATAAACAGTCGGACAGGAGACTGCTGCGAGACACATACATCACATCTGGGAATACAACCACACATCATACAACCACACTACCTCACCCATAATACGTCCGCACGAACTCACAGATGCTGGGATGAAATATAATACTGCCAAGGCACATGAAACAATGATATACAGTTTTCCACATATTGGCAATAAATTGACGAAGTGGGTATACTTGGATACACATTTCACATTTGTTACAAAGTTATAACATTGTGAAGTCTCACATGGGAAGTCCTGATGCTTTCACTCACTGATGTTCTTTTTGTCTGTTTGATTAGGCTGAAGAAATTAATTAACATGCGCCCTTTGTCAAATCTGTATAGGGCACGGTTAACCAATTAGTGTTCAAAAATGAGTAAAACAAATATTGCCTCCAAGTTTATTTAGCTGTCCTTGCAGACAGTAGCCCAGTCTCTTGTCAGGGTCAGTTGTGTTGCATATCCTCAAGGTACTCACAGGGAAAAAACACTAACAAAGGGAACAACCAGTGCTCCTTTAAATAGATAGAGGAGATGGGACTATCGAGATCAAAGTCAAAACAGTTGATAGCATACACTGAGTGAGTGAGTGAGTGAGTGAGTTGGGTTTAAGGCTGCTTTTAACAGTATTCCAGTTAAATCGCGGCGTGTCAGCTAAATGTGGGAGGAAAGCCAGAGGTGATGCAGGTCTCAGATGTTTACCACTTCAGTGAAACCCATGAGCACGGGTATGGTGCTGACAAACCTAGAAACATAATTGGGGCGAACCGGGATTAGAACACAAGCATAGGTTTCTGGCGTGTCCAAGGGACGCAACTCTGCACCTTAGATCACTGGGCCACCCACGCCCCATCCATTTTCAGAACAAAAGGCCATGCAGCAGCCATAAGAAATTTGAGTTTTCAGTATGGTCAAAGTGCAAATGTCAAATCAAGGTCAAAATTTATAATTTCACAAAAAACGGACAAATTATGTTGATCCACTACTGACTACACATGTTACTACACATGTCCCAAATTTAATTACTCCCTCCTACATGTGTCAGAAACCCCCAACCCCTCCTACATCTGTCAGACAGCCCCTCCCCGCTACATGTGCCAGACAGCCCCACCTCCTCCTACATATGTCAGCCCCACCCCCTACCCCTAAATGTGCCAGATAGCCCCACCTCCTCCTACATGTACCAGACAGCCCCACCCCCTTGTACATATGTCACACAGCCCACCTCCTCCCACATGTGTCAGGCAGCCCCACATCTTACATGTGTCACACAGCCCCATCCCCTCCCACATGTGACACACAGCCCCACCTCCTACTACATGTGTCACACAGCCCCACCCCCTCCTACATGTGACACAGACAGCCCAACCCCCATCCCCCAACATGTGTCACACAGCCCCACCTCCTACTACATGTGTCAGACAGCCCAACCCCCATCCCCCCACATGTGTCACACAGCCCCACCTCCTACTACATGTGTCAGACAGCCCAACCCCCATCCCCCCACATGTGTCACACAGCCCCACCTCCTACTACATGTGTCAGACAGCCCCACCTACTCTCACATGTCAGCCCCACCCCTTGTAGAGGAACACCTCCAGCAGCCTCATGCATACCACTGACAGACACACAGATACTAAACACCCTCTATACACGGACCATGAACTCATATACACCTCCTACTTTTCAGCAAACATGTTTACCAACCAGAAACATCTTCATTGACACTTGGTGAAACTTCGCTTGCAAGAAAGTGCTAAAGTCTTAACTTAAGGTGAAAGTGAGTGGTTTGTTTTAACTGTTGATGACATGATTCGCCAGTAACGACCATGAGCTGAGACCCGCTAGATCATGGAGCTTGTTAGTGTCAGACTGTCAGTGTGGCCGCGCGGCCGCGCTCGTGATAGATACGTGCTGAGGATGTGCTATGAGGCTGTCTCCTGGCACTGTTAGTGGAGACATCGCCGGCTATATTACAGACCTTACCACCAAGTCTAACCCTATAATTCACTAAATTCACATTTGATACTCTTTCATTTTCTTGACATGATTGCACACGGAGATTTTTAGCTGTAAACTAAAACCGAACAGGTTTTTATTTCTAACAACGTTTTACCAGTTCCCATGGCAAGGATAAATTCACCTTCCAGCTGAGAGGAGTGAACCTGAAATCATTAAACATTTCTCTGCAGGGAATCAGCGTCAGACAATAAAACTTAGGACTTGCTGCATTACTTGACTCAAAGACTTGCTGCATCACTTTACATAAAGACTTGCTGCATCACTTGACTCAAACACTTGCTGCATTACTTGACTCAAAGACTTGCTGCATCACTTGACTCAAAGACTTCCTGCATCACTTTACATAAAGACTTGCTGCATCACTTGACTCAAACACTTGCTGCATTACTTGACTCAAAGACTTGCTGCATCACTTGACTCAAAGACTTCCTGCATCACTTGACATAAAGACTTGCTGCATCACTTGACTCAAAGACTTCCTGCATCACTTTACATAAAGACTTGCTGCATTACTTGGCATAAAGACTTGCTGCATCACTTTACATAAAGACTTGCTGCATCACTTGACTCAAAGACTTGCTGCATCACTTTACATAAAGACTTGCTGCATTACTTGGCATAAAGACTTGCTGCATCACTTTACATAAAGACTTGCTGCATCACTTGACTCAAAGACTTCCTGCATCACTTGACATAAAGACTTGCTGCATTACTTGGCATAAAGACTTGCTGCATCACTTTACATACAGACTTGCTGCATCACTTGACTCAAAGACTTCCTGCATCACTTGACATAAAGACTTGCTGCATCACTTGACTCAAAGACTTGCTGCATTACTTGACATAAAAACTTGCTGCATATCTTGACATAAAGACTTGCTGCATCACTTTACATAAAGACTTGCTGCATTACTTGACATAAAGACTTGCTGCATTACTTGACATAAAGACTTGCTGCATCACTTTACATAAAGACTTGCTGCATTACTTGGCATAAAGACTTGCTGCATTACTTGGCATAAAGACTTGCTGCATTACTTGACATAAAGACTTGCTGCATCACTTTACATAAAGACTTGCTGCATTACTTGGCATAAAGACTTGCTGCATTACTTGGCATAAAGACTTGCTGCATCACTTTACATAAAGACTTGCTGCATCATATGACTCAAAGACTTGCTGCATCACTTTACATAAAGACTTGCTGCATTACTTGGCATAAAGACTTGCTGCATTACTTGACATAAAGACTTGCTGCATCACTTTACATAAAGACTTGCTGCATTACTTGGCATAAAGACTTGCTGCATTACTTGACATAAAGACTTGCTGCATCACTTTACATAAAGACTTGCTGCATCACTTGGCATAAAGACTTGCTGCATTACTTGGCATAAAGACTTGCTGCATTACTTGACATAAAGACTTGCTGCATCACTTTACATAAAGACTTGCTGCATTACTTGTCATAAAGACTTGCTGCATTACTTGACTCAAAGACTTCCTGCATCACTTGACATAAAGACTTGCTGCATCACTTTACATAAAGACTTGCTGCATCACTTGACTCAAAGACTTGCTGCATTACTTGACATAAAAACTTGCTGCATTACTTGACATAAAGACTTGCTGCATCACTTTACATAAAGACTTG